CTTAGTTGTTCATCGAGATCATTTTAGACATGCCGCCTTGACTTTGTCATCTTATCAATTGATCTCATCTTCGAATCTCGGTTTCCCTTTCATGTTCACTCTTGTCATTCATTTTTTTTTGTTTTGCAATTTCGACTCGGCATTTCTAACTCTAAGTTATGAGAGAGATCGCTCTAGATAGCACTTTTTGTCTTAGTGCTTTCACTTTTTTTTCCTTTTGTTTTATTTTTTCGCAGTCATTCCAAGATTTTCTTGACAAGTTTTGTTTTGTGAACAATCATCATCATTTCTCATCCCGTTTTTCTAGGAGAATGTCCTTGATTACTAACAAACTTCAAATTGCCCCAAGTGTGAGGGGTGATCCTAGTCTAGGTCATTATCAAACAAATCATTTAAGGCTCAAAGTTGGACGACAAGAGATAAGTATTTTATTTGTTTGTGGAAAAGTATACTAAAAAATGGCCTTTCTTCATCTCAAATATGATCTTGTTCGAGTTGATGAACTCTAGTTTCATTTGAAAACTATGATCGACTTGTGGAGAAGAAGTGATGGGTAAGGTGAAATCATGACCCGAATGCATACCACTCATCATTTAAGACATCGAATCACTTTTTGTTTTTGTTTTTGTTTTTTTTTTTGTTTTTTTGTTTTTGGGCATCAATGTATCATCTTAGGCAAGATTGTCTTAGAAGGACGTGTCAAGGATAAAGGAGAAATGTTTTTAGTTTCAAAAGAAAGAGATCGCCCCTAGCATTTGCACGACATGTTTTGAAAGTTGATCAATGTTGAAAGATTTTGAATGAATTTGCCATTTTATTCACTATAATTTGGATGACATAAAATGAAAGTGATATTTTCAAATCAATAATAAGATCATGCCAAGATATCGAGAATTTTTTTCAAAGAAATGACCCAATCCATGAAAATTACAATACTTTTGCAAATGAAATTCAAAAATTAAAAATAAGGTAAGATTTCATTCACAAAATCAAGACACTCATGCTTATCTATCGAGCTTTGGTTGTCCTCGTCGCATACGTTCTCATGCGCATTATAATCGAGTCATGATGGTCATTCTTCTTTTTTAGCACAATCACTTGGTGTTTTTATTTTTGAGATATGATCTTATTAAATATCCCAAAAGTAAGGTAAAAAGGAGAATAAAACACAATAGAAAACGAAGGTAAAGGTGGTAGTTTGAGAAGAAAATTTGCACGATCTCGCAAATTGATATCATATGAAAGCATGATAGATAAATGCAATAAGGAAGTTACTTGGCCTTGGAAACCAAAAGAGCTTCTTCATCGGACCAGTCATTCGATTCCTTCCTCTAGGTTATCTCATAGATAAGCCGATCGACGTCAAGAACATTCTTAAATGTGTTGCAAAAAGCACCATGATTTCTAAACTATCAAGCACTAACTCAGATTGCATGACTTGGTTTTAGCATTGGCTTTATCTACCCCCCAAATTATTCACTACTATATCACGTGATGATTGGCTCAAACTCAAGTATTTACTATGCAAATCAACAATGTATGAAGACTTCTCCGATTTCTTTTCCTCTCTTTCTACCCTCAAGGAGCCCCCGAACTAGTAGGGCTTATACCTCTTGATGAAATTCAAGGCAATTATCAACATCATGCCCTCTCTCTTTGTGAAACTTGTAGAAGGACTCAACATGAATAGGAGCTTGAGACTTGGTCGGTTACTTGTTAATGTTGATAACGGATAACAAGTCAAACAAATAGGATGTGAAAAATACAAAAAAAAATAGAAAAAGAAAAAAAAACAATTAGAATATTATAGTTTAGATTAATTCTAAGGAGGGGGTTAATTGAGAAAAATCAAGAGTGGAAAATAATTAAAAAGAAAATTGGGGGCTTAATTAAAGAATTCAAAGCTTCAATTCCTTTTTCAAAAATTAAAAGGGTACAATTGGAACCAATGAAAATAAAAAGTCTCAATTATTGGCAACGGGAGGCTTAAATTAAAATACAAAGAAAAATAAATTGAACCTAAGTAAATGCATGGAGGAAAATCAAGGACCGAAATGGATTTTTTCCAAAAAACCTAAAAACTTGCATGCATTTCTTGGTCTAAAGCTACTGTTCATTGTCACCCAAAAGAGAGAGGAACCAGCCGCCAAACACCGAAAAAAAGAAAAAGCTTTCTCCCACGCAAAGCACAAACGCCACCACACCCACTCTCCCCTCTCGCTAAGCTACTATTCATCATCAACTTGAAGGGAAGGAAGAGAACACATTTAGCCGCCACATACAAACACAGAGACCAAGTTCTCACCCATTTCCCTCTCTCTCGCCCAAACCTCAATAGCCTCTCTCACCGAAATCTTAGCGTTACAGCCCCACCATCTCCTCCTCCACAACAGCCCTCAACACCAGTTGCCTCTCTCTACACCTCACAAACGCATATAAATCGACTTCCATGGCCACCCACACAAACTGACCTCTAAGCCTCCATCCTTCACACTCGTTTTGTATTTTGACTATAACTTGGACTACAAACATCCCAATTAGGTGATATTAAGCTCTTTGGAAAGATAAAAGACTGAGATAAAAATATTGTGAAGAGTCAAAAGCCTAATTCGGAAGATTTGAAATTCAAAATGGGGCTACAAGTCAGAAGTCAGAATCCATCCAGCAAGTTTTTTTAACATCAGGACTTGTTCGGTTTAGAGGTCATATCTTGGGTTATAGGAGTCCAATTGATGAAAGGATAGTTGTGTTGGAAAGAGGAAATATGGACCTATAATTCTCGTGAAGATACCAATTCAAGATTAGGTCGTTTTAATGGTCAAAATTGTGATCGAATAGGCTGGAAGAAATTTCTCATAGAGGACGAAAATTCCAACAGCCCCCAAGAACACTTCCAAAAACCCTCACTCTAGCCTCCTTCAAAGCCCCAAAACTAACCCTTAAAGCAGCTACAAAGTAGACATAAAGCCCCCCAAAATTATCCCTAAAACCAGCCCCAAAACAGACCTGAAAAACCCACCAAAAACCCTCCAAAATCAACCCTGCAACCATTACCAATAGCCCAAAAAACGCTTACAGAGCAACCCCTTCGGGTCGCTCATTTAAACCACCAAAGAATCCCCAAAAACAACCTTAAACCAGCTTCAAGATATCCCCAAGAAACCCCCAAAACACATCCCAAAACTACCCAAAAACCAAATAAAAAACAACCATCAACAACAGCCTTTACAACCTTGAAACAGCCCCCAACAGCCCCCAAAGACTCTTGCAAAGAAGCCCTTTTGGATAGCCCATTTTAGTCACCAAAGTAGCCACTAAAATGCCCCCAAGTCAGATTTAAAAGCATCCAAAAAACCTCCCAAAAAAACTACCAAAACAGCTACAAAACCTTCCTCAAAATAGCCCATTGGACACTTTTTTTGGAGTTACCGAAAAAGTAGAAATGAAAATTATTATAAAAAAAAGGCTAAAAAGATTTTCTTGTGTTGGATTGTTAGCATCCACAACATGATGTTGTAGGTCGCATTTGGTTGATTCTTTTTTATAGGAAAATAAGCAACAAGAGCTACCTTGGGCTTTCGAAACTCTACAAATTTTACGATAACTTTGGAGTATTCACCCGAGTAATGGAGGGGTTTCGATCACTTTAGCAACACTCACACCCCACATTCTCTACCAACAGTTATCCTCCTTTTTCGGCTAATCGAATATTCGATTATCATCGAGAACGAAGAGAGTAGGATCGACTCTAAATCTAATATCGACACTTCGAACCTTTTAGGTAAAAATCTTAAAACATGACATTTCTTGAAGCATGATAAATGTTTGAAAATGACTATGTGCTTTAAAATGTGGTTAAAATTGTGACAGTTGGCATAACATTTATGAAACAAATGTGTTCAAAATGAAACATTACCGCAAAGATCATTAAGGAACAATATGCCATGTTTTCCTGTTATTATGCATGTCCGTCCAAATATGAAATTTGTCTCAACTTTTGTGCTTCAATTGACTTTCCATGATTGTTTGCAATGCTACAATAAAGCCGTTAGTGGTTTCAAAATCATTTTGCCTCGTGTCTAATTCTCGTTTTCCCGATTTTTGTTTATTGTTTCTTGATTTCTGTTTTCTATGTTTTATTGCCTATTTCATCAAAACGAAGCTATCACCGGCTTTCCACTTATGTGATGAAGCCGCCGATGGCTTCAAAAATAATTTTTCTATTTAATGCTCGTTTGTTTGAGACGAAGTCGTCGGTGGCTTTCCACTTATGTGATGAAGTCGTTGGTAGCTTCTAAATAGTTATTTGCTCCTCACTGGAGCAACTTAAAATTGTTAATGACTTTCCACTTCGTGACGAAGTTATGATAGCTTCTTAAATGCATGACCCAAAGTTGTTGATGACTCATAGCTCATGCCAATAAAAGGCTATTTATCTTTAGAAGAGTGCCTATTGTTAATAATAGATCGTGTTCGCTAATGACTAGCCGAAATTCTAATTTTTACCTTTTTCCCATTTGGGTAGGACGTATTGGCCTTGGACTAACTCGAACGTCCAAACTACCTTATTTTATACCAAAACCATCATGTCCTATATTTTTACAAAATAAACTTATTTAAATAAGCATAGAAGCATAACATGACAAAAGCTAGGTTTTTTTTATCTATATATTTATAAACAAATAATGCAGCTTACCTTAGGTAGGATGGGATGGTGGTGACGACATGTCTTCCCCATACGTAATCGACCTCTTATCCGGATATCCATGTAGACCAGGTATGTTTAGGGTTTTCTACTTTTCTCCGATTAGCTAGGTGGCGACTCCTTTATTTCGACTCCCTCCCCTCGCAGTGGCCGATGTCGACAACCCCCACCCATGTTTCTCACATCCAAGCATCAATCATTTGTTCCAATATTAATGGTTTTGAAGTCAGAATCCGCAGTGGAGGCCGTGATTATGATGGTCTTTCTTATGTGTCAGGGGTACCATTTATCATGGTTAATTTGTAATGCTCCCCTTAATCCTCCCATTTTCTGCAATTACACAAGTTTTGGAGGCTTCTTCGCATGGCAAATCCATGCTTAACCTACATAATAAGTCTGGTTTGCAGATCAAAACTGAAAGTGTTTCAAGACTCCATGGAGAGTCACTAACCTCTACACAACCTCAGAAACACACAAAATTGAGCTTCAACACCTATTTGCTGCGACTGAAAAGGTAAGTCTTTTATAGCGAGCATGATGTCTATAAACAGGAAGGAAGAACTGATCAGATTAGCAGCAATACCAATTACTTTTGCAGCACCAAGCCTAAATCTGATAAAAGAGTAGGTAAAGGATGTGATTGCTGAAATTACTGAGAGCCATTCCATGTCATGAGAATCAGAGAAAAGTACCCTTATTGAAAACATGAAATGAACTAGCTATCCTCAGCAAAGATAAGGAGAAGCACTAAACAAAATACATGTGATGTAGAGAAACAATTATCAAGACTTAATCTTGGAAGGGCATTAATCCAAAAAAGTCTCGAACACAAGGGATGCAAAAAGGTGTAGATCACAAAATTAGGTGAGGAAGTACCTGATGCTAGGTTGAAGTAGTAATAATAGAAGCAACAAGAGTCCTAGATATACTCAAATGTTGGAGAAAATGACCAAACCATGTTTGTGTTAAACCTGAACTATCACTGCATTAAATTAAGAACCAATAAAGCATATCCTAATCGAAAATTATATGGTAATGTCTGAGACAAGTTCAAAGGTTCAAAGGTCAGAGGACTTATAGCATCGGAAAGGAGGAATGCAGAAATGTAGGTGACAATCGCAAAGCAAAGCAAATCAAATCCTAGTTGTGCTGTACTCCAAGCCAATGACAGAACTCCAGAGCCGATAACAACAGTAATAATATGAGCAATGCAAATCCATAAGGTCACTGGTTGAGTTTTCCAGAGACAACAGATTCAAGATTAAATTGAAAAAACTGCATCAAGTTTGAAAACGTAAACTGGTACTCTTATGTACCATAACTTGGAAATAAAGGGTCCTCTTCCTGAGGAACTAATGCCTCAGGTGAAGGTCAGTCTTATAAACTAAATCCACACAAGAGAACTGTTGTTTTGATTTAAGATTGAATCGAACCATATGAACAGAAATTCGAAGTCTAGAAAGATAAAATGTAATCGACCAAGCTCGCAAGTGAGCGGTAAGAAGAGCCCCCTTGCCTTAGACAAAGTTTTACCTTTTCTTTCAAAGACATAATTCTCTCCCTCATTCCTTGTCCTTCTGCCTCCACCATTAATCTTTTGATAGTCCTCTCTATCTTCCCTCTCTCAAGCATATAATCCAAGTGTATCCCAATTTTCCAAACATCACTAACATACCTAGCTATTACTTTCTGGTCACCAAATGAAGGCTGACAAATCATGGGCACCCCTTCGCAAATGCCTTCTAATGTGGAATTCCACCCGTTGTGTGTCCAAAACCCTCCGGTGGCAGGATGTGCTAGAACCTCTTGTTGAGGAGCCCATTTCACGATATAACCCCTTTCACCTACCATCTCAAGGAATCCTTTCGGCAATGGTTCAAGGCATTCTGAACCCTGGATAAATCCTGGTCGAACAACCCACAAGAAAGGTTGATTGCTATTGGCTAGTCCCCAAGCTATCTCCTGAAATTCATTCTTATTTATGGCTGCAAGACTCCCAAAGCTCACATAGAGTACAGAATTAGGAGCTTGGGCATCTAGCCAGGAGAGGCAGCTTGGGTCTTGTGTAAATAAACTGCTTGAAGAGGCTGGCATGTACTTGTGAAATGGACCTATTGTGAAAATGGGAATAGGAAAGTCATGGCTTAATCTAGTAAGTGAATCTTGCTCGAGCTCTTCAAAAGAGTTCCAAATGAGTCCTGATGAGGCCTTGCTTTCATTTATCAATCCGGCTACATAATGATGAAGGTCTTCTAGGTCTTGTGTTTTAAATTCTGGAAGATCTTTCACTTTAAGTGGGGGAGTCTCTATAACTGGTTCTTCTAGTTGAAAATCTGGGGGCAAAAAAAAAAAAAAAAAAATGGTTAGAAAACGAAAGGAGAGAAAACAAGAATAAACTCTGGTATTTGGTTAGATAAGTAACAAATATACATTTAGATTCATAAAGTTATCTTATTCCTTTCTGAATTTGATATGTTTTTCATCACCAACAATGCCGATGATGCTATGGAACATCACCATAGCCGATGATGCTCGACTTAAACACAAAATTTATGTGGACAAGGATGATTGTATTCTTTCCCAGAAACTGCAATCTTGTGCTTATATGTGAGCCAGAAAACCAAGGAAAATGTATATAACAAAAGTTTCATAGGATGATTAATTCTGGACATAAATTGCATTTCTATATATGTCAATTCAACTAATTATTTTAACATCTTTCTCGACTTATCATACCACTGGACTTCATTAACTAGAAATAATGTGCACAGACAAACAATCAAGTTGTAAATAGTAAGCACGCACCTTTGGTTATGAAATACTTTTCTCGCAGAAGTGGAAAAGCAGCAAAAACAAGGAATGAAGAAATGTCACCGGTATGTAGCACAATCCTTGGAAGCTTAGTGCTGTCAGCAACAGCTTGAGTGAAGTACCAGAGGGCATCTGTAATTATGCAAGAAATTGGCTCCTCCTTAACATCCAACAACAACTTAGATAAACCATCACTAAAGGGTTTAACACATTTGATATTGAGGAGTGTCACCAAATGTATAATATCTGTGGTAGAAGCCTCATGTTCCAAGAGGCCATCGGAAATCAAAGAGAAGGTGAAGTGAGGGTAGTTCTGAGGATTTGGAGAGTTGAAGTGAATGTGGATTATGATGATGGAGAACCCTTTGGAATACAGGATGTTTGCTTGTTGAAGCATGGGGTTTATATGACCTTGAAATGGTAAAGGAAAGAGAATTAGCGAGCGGCCCACCCTTTGTTGCATATGAGACTCTCTTAGGCTCTCCATGGAGCTCCTTCAGTACTGCTTCAATTGGATACCTCTAATGATCAACTCATTGCTTCATTTATATAAGGAAAAAGAAGGTGTCATTTGCCCAGATAGCCAGGGGAATTTTTCACTTTCTCCTTAATTATTATCATTCAGCTGCAAATTACGATGATCGTATCCTGATGTCATTTCCTTCGAATAAATAATGATATTAATAATCAAGAAGAATCTGCATAAGTCCTTGTCACTTGTATGTCAAATTTGAAGCATCCCAATTTATAAATGCAATTAGAAAGGTGGATGCAAGCACAACTTATGATCAGTTAGCTTACAGCTTTGCCTTGATTATCCACGAAACTATGCCAGAATCATAGGAGATATGCTTTACCTTTTCCCTCTTCTATTTTAAGCATCCAACAATCAAGTGAGTCCTAGTGTAGGAACAAAGTGAGACTGAGTGCCTAACTACTCTAAGAGATAGTCTTGACTGTGTTTTTCAAATATTTGTAGCAAGTGTTGTGTAAGTTTAGTGTAATTATACTACTAATTTCTAATAATTAGTGGTATAATAAAATTACATTCTTATTTAAGCTCACCAAATTACGCCAATTCAAATTCAACAAATGGTATTCGAGCTGTGTTAAGCTCAACAAGTGATATCATAGCTATGTTAAACTCAATAAGTATTATTAGAGCTTGATGATCAAAAGAGATACGTTGGAGTAGGTGGTTAGAAACCCTCTTGAAAGAAAAAAATTGCTTGCTCATAGTCTGGGACTATGATTATCAATTAGGGATCGACATAGAGATCATACATACACAAAAACCAAAATTACTTCTCGTGCAAGACATGCATTGAGTCATATTTACTTGGTCAAGATTTACAAAGATTATCAATAATAGTGAAATCAACCCACTAGAACAAGATGTCCAGCCACTCAATAAATGAAAGACAAAAGTCGTCGAGAAGGCCTTATTCCTAATAATAAAAACAATTGAAAAGAAGATGTTAGAGCACATCAAGCATGCCAGAGCACCAAAAGTGACATGGGATATTCTTCCAACTCATTTTTCTTAGATAAACAATAGACGGCTTCAATTATTCTCGCAACAGCTAATTGTTGTCACGTTTCAAGAAATATTGTTTTTTATGACGCATTATGGTGATGGTTACCACAACATGTGAGACTACTAGACTCTAAGGAGATAAATGAAAAGTTACAACAAAGACTTGATGAGTCGCTAGAGAGAGAATCAAGATCCAAATAGAAATTCATTCCTCTCAACATTTAAGAGGAACTAGAAGAGAAGGAATATCCTTAGCATACAAGTGTTCATCGCACTTTCTGTAAGAAAAGACACAAGAAGAAATCTTAGAGAATCCACCTTTACATAGGTTTAATCAGACAACAAAAACCTAATCTAAGGTAAACAAAAGCTGCGTTAATCAAAAACCAACATATTAGAGAACCAAAAAGCTATGAAAGATGAGATACAAGCTCTCATGGAGAATCAAACTTCGGATTTAGTTCCAAAACCCAAGGATGTAAAACCTATATCATGCAAATGGGCTTACAAGTTACATACTCGACTAGATGACTCAATTGAAAGACATAAAGCTCGCCTCATTATCAAAGGATTTTCACCACTGTGTCGATTGGACTATGATGAAACTTTTTGTCTTGTGAAAAAATCACCACCGTATGTGTTTTGCTAGTATTGAAAACTAGCAAGTTGTGGAAGCTATGATAGATGGATGTGAAAAATGCATTTTTGAATGGAGAGTTAGACCATAAAATCTACATAAACCAACATGGCTTATATTTCTGGTCCACTAAGGATTTTGACCATTATAAATATGTGAAGAGAAGTATGATTTTAGAGAGCGTAAAACACAAATATCGAGAGGTTTTCTATGAGTGTGAGAGTGGGTGTGAAAAGAAATTTCGGATTGGATTTTAGATATAAAAATTATAATCATATTTTTGTACTAATTTTCTTTCATAGTAAAGAATTACTCTCTCGTTTATGGAGTTAGTAGGATTTTACTCGAACGACATTAAATCTTGTGTGTTCTCTCTTTATTTATCTTTATTCATATTTGTTATTTTTCTTTTCATTGAATTGGATTGCTCGTGGTGGTGTATATGTTGAATCTTGGTTCTTCATTTCTCAACAAACTAGTTTAAATCTTTCTTTTTGAAAGATTTGGCTTTTGATCGCGAACAATGTCCGCATATGGCAATTTTCAATTTACAATAGAACAATTTAATAGAATAAAAGTTTTACTCTTTGCAACAAAGGGTGCGTTGGGTTTATGCTTAAGGTCTCACCCATGAGTGGCCTAGCATAACCCATTAAAAAATTAAATAAGAAAAAGATTAATCAGGAAAAGGATTGAAGTTAAATAGGAAAACGGACTATTGTAAAACTAGAAAGGAAAAGTTTTTTTTTCTTTTTTTGTTTTCCTATATAGCCAAGAGATATATATATATATATATATATATATATATATATAAACAAGTTTGTCTTTTTTTGTATATAGCCGCCAAAAAGAGCTATTGAAGAGAAAAGAAAAGAAACCAAAGATTTTTCTTATTGGTTTGACGAATTAAGTGGGAGGAAAAAAACAAGGATTTTGGTGCACAAAAGAATGAGTTTTCTCTAGCATTTATTTTTGGGTACAACAAGCACAAAGAATTACGGTATTTAAGGTAGTGATCTCAAATTATATTGGACTTTATAAAAACACAAAAATTTGATGGATTCTATATTTTTATAATGAGATAGATTTAGATAGAGAGATAATTTGTATTACTTTCAACAATTTTTTTTTTCAAGTTCATGGAGAAAATTGAGTGATTGTATTGCTTTCTTAATTATAGTAGGTTATTTTAGAGTTGGTCCCGTAGTTTTTTCGTACGGTGAAGAGGGTTTTTCATATAAATTTGGTGTTCTTATAGTTATGCTCATGTGATTGATTTATTTTGTATTCTTAATTATCGTGTGTATTTAGATTGATTATTTCTCACAAAATCTAATTTTTACGAAGTGAGATTAAATTCCTAACGTGGTGAAAGACATCCTTGTTCAATAGAATTTGGTTAAAGCACTCGAAGGAAAAGAATGGAAAGCCAAAAGAGATGGAAAAACATGATTAAAAGGAGTTAGAATCAAAGTGAGTGAGCACAATTCGATTCTCGTATTACTAATAACATTGTCAATAATATTATGGATGAAGATCCGGCCCCTACAATGTGAAAAAAGTTAGAAAATCTTTATCCGAGGTAGAGTTTATGATAGTGTACGTGCTGAATTAAATTTATTTTTTTATTTAGGAGATGATTGGAGGCAAATGATCAAAAGTGAGTTAACTAAGGCAAAATTCTATTACTCGGTAGAATGACCTTCGAAAAAGATACTAGAACTCCATCTTTTTAGAAATCCGAACGTAAAAGAGGCCTTCTTGTGGTTTGAAATGGACATCTTAATCTTTCTCGATTGGGTTTGAATGCACAAATCTATTTTGTTTTGTTTTATCAAAAATGGTTGCAAAGTTAGGTTAAAAATTCGAATCGGTGACAATCCGAAACACTTCTTAGTATTTAGACTATATCTCGAAGTTATAAACATTAATTTGATTAAGGTGCTTCAAAATCTTATAGAAAGAAGACTTCTAGGCCTACAACTTTTATGGAGAGCCTAAGATCAAATTCGACCACTATCGAATCCGAAATCAAGTCGAAAGTACAAGCACATAATTTAGAGCCCTATTCACCCATAAGTCCTAATTAATTTCAAACATAACTTTGAATAGGACTTGTGAGCTAGAATACCTAACTATATTCATGTATAAATAACTTCTAGGGATGCACATTCGTAATAATTGGCAATTTAGAAGAGAATTTATTTTATTTGTGTGTTTTTACTCTTAAGATGCAAGACTAATTCTTCTTTTTCAGTTCAAGAGAAACGTGACTTTGAAGAATAAGATGCGAGTCCTTTTTTATTTAATTTTATACTCTATTCATATTTACCATTTTTTATTCTTCCGAACTAATTGAATTATATTCCGACTTATAATTGCTTAGGAGTACTACTAGGTAATTGTGATTAATTAATAACCGTTAGATTAAGATTTATAATATGTAATTGTTATAAAATTTATTCATGTCTAGCAATAGAGTTAAATGATTTCTAATATTGATTCTAATTCTAGAAGGAAAGAACACAGGTAAAATTAACCAACTTCGTATTGATTATCTATTTTGGTTGTTTTTTAAATCGTTAATGCTATCGTTGAATTATATACGGAGAGCTTGTCCTATATGGTTCGATAATAAGGATTCAAACTTCATGTGTTTGATGATTAAGTAAGGAGAACAAAGTTAATATAGATCAAATGATAAATTATAAATAGTGTCTTTAATTGTCATCAATCATTAGTTTGTAATTTGAAAGTAAAATTTACTCTTGGAGCAAATGCTTTTAAATTGATTAATTTCTTATATTCGTAGCTCGCTTTCATACATTGAACTTGAACTACAAACCCTCATTTTCCTTTATTTAATTGTCTAAATTGAGTATAAATAAGGATCAGAATAGCAATAAGATTAGTCTTTCCGGGGTCGACCTAGACTTGCCGCTAGCTATAATTGTGAGGTTTAATGAATTAATTTTGTAGTGTTACAAGCACGCTACTAGTTTAACTAACTTACATGTAAAACGAAAACTTTACAAGCTAAAAATAGAAGGCAATAATTTCATGATGCACTTGAATGTGTTCATTGACATATTGGATCAATTGATTATACGAGTGAAGTTAGATCAAATACAAACTATGTTTTTATTTCGTGAGACGTAGAGAAAGTAAAATCAAGAAAAAATAAATTTTGTACTAGTGATAGGGAGAAATATCGAAAAGAAAT